AGAGAGAGAGTGAGACTATTGGAGTACAAAGTGAAATAATCATTAACATGTATTAAAATAAATAAATGAATGAATGTGCTTAAGCACTTAATTCATGTCAGTTTCTTTACCCTATTGTTAGCATCAGAGCGTTCAGTTCCGCTTGTGATGTGTAGTGTGATATGTAGAACAGAGGACATTCTGTCTCAGGTTTATAGATACACCATGCATGCAGGGTGGTTTCAATATAAAGCATGGGGCTTGATTCAGAAGGCTCAAGTGGTGTATAATGATTCACTTCCTCAGGAATCTTGATGCATGGCATCCAATGAATAAGCCTGTATATGTCAGATTGCATGGTGTGGAACACCTTTATCATGTTCTGCAGCACATTTGTCTGTCACTGGCAACGATATATTCTCACATTTTTGAATGTGACAATTTGTTAGGTTAGAAATTCATGATTACAACTTTATTTCTTTTTCATCCTGGGTTTAACCCTAGAACACTAACGTTAAAATAAGTAACACCATCACTAACGTCGGGCATATTTTACCCAATATAATGTGTACAACACTGTATGCCAAATTGTAGTACTCTTCTTTAATTTCCCAATATACAATATCACATAAAATTAAAAAAAGGTACCATGGGGGACGCTATAAAAAGGCAGCTAAATTATTGAAAAATCAGATAATCCTTAACGAGAAATTTCCAAACAAAAAAAATAATTGAGCTGGGAACTTGTATTTCGGTCCACCCATTCCTGGGACATGTGAGCCTTGTCTGGTGAAGGCGTAGTCTTCTTTCATCACTGACAACTGTGGGAGAGATAGACAAAAAATAGCATTTTTTGAGAGGGGAAAAATTACCAACATTTTTTGACTATATGAATTTCCATTAAGTGATATTTATTCATAGCCATTATACTAATTAAGGATTACATGCAAATTCTGGGACAACTCTAACTTACCTTATGCCTTACATGCAGTCGGTACAGGCAGGGTAGTAATGGCGAGGACACACTGGTTGATGGCAGACATGACACCTGTGTCGTGTCTTCCTGTCCGAGCCTGTGGGGCAGTCAGCACACCTCACTAACACTCCGCTTTCTTCTGCTGCCATTGGTCCAACCTCGCCAGCAGGAGTGCCAGTTGTAGGGATGTTGCACGGGCTGCAGATGAGGATTCTGAGCTGACGTGACAGACTTAAAGAGGGGAGCCTTGGCTTGATGAGTGCCATTGCCGTAGTGAGCACACATCTGGTCGAAAGTATCAACACCTCCCTTCGTTTGGTTGTAAAATTCAATCACTTCAGGCTTGTGAGTGGGTCCAATACTTGGTTGTGTGTGCATGGATGACAAGAGTAGGACAAGCTTCTTTTTTGAAGCTGTGTCAGGGAGGAAGGACACCAAAGTTAGTTGCACTGGAGCCTGGCGTGTGATTTTCTTTATCTTTCATCACATGTGGGATCTCTCTTTTTGCTTTCACCGTCCCCACATGGGTCATGCCAAAGTTCTCCAGCAGGTCAATCGCCAGTGGCACAGAGGTGAAGCAATTATCAGTGGTCACATTCCTGTTTGTCTGGTGATATTGCTTTGTCAGCTCCTTGGTGAAATAATGGCCAAGACTTTGACCACCCTGTGGTTGCTACATGTTACTGACTCGTTAGCATGCCAGAGTAACCAAGCCTGTGACAGGATGTCAGCTGTGGATGAAATGGGGCAGAGAATGTGGACGGCCTGAATGTTGTTTCCCTTGAAAAGTGCAAAGAGCGTCTGATTTAAACACACAAACACTAACATCGGGTAAATTCCACCCATAAAATATGTTACTCTCTATCACTAACGTCGGGTGAAAATCACCCAAACGCATGCCTCTTGAAAAAACCATAGATGGGAGGAGAGAAACAAACATACCATTAATGACATCAGTGAGCAGCATGAAGCTACCCAAGGACCCATGCAACTCAGACAGCAGCAACACAATGAAAATCACATGACAAGAATCATGTGGGTGAATATCACCCGACGTTAGTGTTCTACACGTTTTCAGCAAAACAATATAGTGGTCCTCCACTGTCTTCTCTCTGCTCAAGTAGTAAGGAGTGAGTGTGGATGAAGTGTGTGCTTCAGTGAGGCTTGTGGTGAATTCAAGCTGGGTAGGTCAGCGTGAAAATCAATGAATGCCAGATGCTCAATGACCTAAAACTTAATCAGAAACACATGTCTGCAGAGGTGTGTCTCTGTGCTGTTTCTTGTCCTCTTCACACCCAGATTGCATGAGATACATTAGGTTCAGCACTTTGTAATTTTATAACTGTTTCAGTTTGTCTTTGCTAAATATTTTAATCTAAAACATTTTTAGATTGCATGTGCATTGGTGACAAAAGTTTGGTTAAAGGTTGGGTTAGGTTTATGCTTCAGTACAGAGCAAACTTCCTGTGTGAGTTTAAAATTGGATCCTCTTAACTTACGACATGATATCATAGTGCTGAGCTATAGCAGTCAGCTGAGCCTTCAATGGTGGAAACTCACTGCCGCTCTGTTCAAGTGTGTGGTCATCACTGCTCTTTACCGAAGTCTTTCATTAAGCCTCATGCGAATCATCCACATCCATCCAATCAGGAGGAGACCTATCAATCTCAATGCACAGATCCTCTCCTGAAAAGAGCACATACTCACACCAAAATATAGACACCCAAATTAACAAAAAACACTCAACTAGGGCTGTAACATCACCCATGTCACATGCATGCCAAGGTCATTCTGTACCTGAGGATGTTTCTTTGGACTCCACAGTGATGCTGCTTTGTCTCTCGGTAGATAATTTGGTGACACTATCACTCTATCATAAAGTAGTTTGTTATTTATAAAGGAGTTTCTAGTGTAGGTTGACACAGTTTTTACTTCACATATCAGCTAAATATGTGTGGTATGATGAGACAAGTCTTCATGACAGAGGTTGGCAGCTTTAGTTTTGGCTGTGTAGATCCACAGGTACAGTGGATTACAATTGAGACCCTGTTTATTTATTTATACACACCATCTCTTCTAATAATGTTTTAAGCATGGCATTGTATACACAGTTTCATTTAATTTACTTTTCTTTTCACATGTAGTGCTACATTAGCTTATGAGTATGAGCTTATGCTCACACTAATTTAAATGTAAGCTTTGCTTTTGCTCATAGGTTGGTGATGGGAGTGTTATGACCACACTGACAAGGACCAGCAGAAATGATTTGTCAGAGAGTTACATGTGTTTTTTCTGTATAACCAGTTGGTGATATTCACATTTTTACCAGGGCAGACAGTCCAATACCGTCCCACTCCTGTTGTCATATTTTGCCATTGTAATGAAATGTCTCTGATCTCCCAGTTTGTGCCAAGCAGGGTACTGACAGCACAAACTGTGCTTTGTCTAAAAAAAAAAAAAATGTAGTGAACACTAATAGTGATGGAGATACATATCATGTAGGCAGCTAATGTGCAGAGCAGAGCACAAATAGATGTAATGGATGCTAGTGAGAAGAGATGTGTCAGAGGCAGAAATGAAAATGTCTCATAAGAAGTGAGAGCTGCTGTCAGTAAAAGGTCCCAGGCCAACTTCTCTAACTAACTAACTATTTTTGCACTGACACCACAGTTTAAGCAAGGTCTTTTTTTTCTCATTTGCTGCATAGCCTCAATGTGAGTTTAAAAGTGGTCTCACTTTTTCATTTATTTTTAGTCCTGGACTAAAGGTCTTAGCAACCAGTGCTTAAAAATATAAGAAATAGTTCATCATATGTTGAGCTGTTAATTACTGTCAAATCTGCCTTGGGGATATGACACACATTTATTAAATATTCAATGTAATTTATTTGCAAAGCACTACATTAGAACATACGTTACCTCAAGGCACTTTACATAGTTAGGCCAAGTTCTTACATTATTATAGAGAAATAGAAAGCACTTGGCTGCTTAACATGTGGAATCAAAACTGCTCTGACCAGTTTCAAATGACCTTTAAAACTTAAAAACAGGAAGAGATCATGAGCTTATATATATGCTCCCCTTGGCATCTCTCAAGTGTCTTGCTGAAATAAAGCACTGGATGACAAACAACTCTCTCCCTCTAAACCTGTCAAAATCTGATGTAATTGTCTTTGGTCTTACCTCTAGCATGGATGATATCATGGCAAACTTTGGTGAACTAGCACCATTTAAAGGTGCAGTGTGTAGAATTTAGTGATATCGAGTGTTGAAATTGCATGTTGCAGCTGAACACCTCTCACCTCACCCTCCATCACTTGCTTGCGTTAGATCTCCCATTTATCCGTTAAATGAAAAATAACCTGTGGTAGACTTCACTTGTCCTAAAAACTCAAAAGGTGTTTAGTTTGTACAGTCTGGACTACTGTAAAAAATATGGCAGCCTCCGTAGAGCCTGTTACGCCTGGCTCTGAGGCTGCAACAACACATAGACAAGGCAGCGTGATGTAGCGAATTACAATTTGCTTTATTGATTTAACATAAACGGAACTGAGCGATGGAGTGTGAAAGTGAGCATCAGTAGTGTGTGAGGGTGTTTGCGTGCTATGTAGTATGTGTGGTGCATGTTGTCAGGTGCAGAACATAACAAAAGTAAGTGCAGCAGGATGGAGATCTCAGGGATGAGTGAGAGACCGAGACAGCCCATGGCAGGGGGTTTATATCAGCAAGCCAATCAGGGAGCCATGCACAGGAACTTCCAGCCGGCCAACAATCAGCAACCTGCAAGACACACCCACACAGCATACACACCATACACAGACAGGACACAGGCATGGGCTGGGGCCGTAACAAGGACCCCCTCAATGTAAATATAAAGTATTTAAATATGAAGGACATTTTCTAGGGTAAATAAAACTACAATTCATACAATTTAGATGAAACGAAATACTGAAAACATCATGAGGGTACTTCTGCATTCAATTTCTGCCAATAGATCCCTTTCACCTAAATCTTACACACTGGACCTTTAAGTCCTCAACTAAAAATCTAGGTGGGTCTATGACCAAAACTTGAGCTTGGCAACCACATTAAGAAGGTTGTGCAATCTTGTTATTATTATTCAAGAAAGTTGGATCTTTTATCTCTCACACAGACCTGGAAAAAAACATTCATGCCCTCATTTCCTCTCGCCTCGACGACTGTAACTTCCTTTATAGTGGTCTTACTCAGAAATCAATCCATCCTCTACAGGTATTCAAGAATGCTACCACTCTGCTTTTGACACAATCCCAAAAAATTAACCATATCGCCCCTGTTTCAGCATCCTTGCACTGGCTGCCTGTTTGTTTTAGGATTGATTTTAAAATTCTTCAAATGACTTTTAAAACCAGATGTGGGCTGGACCCTCCCTGTAATTCAGACCTTGTATCTCCCTACATGCAGTCTGTGATCCTCTGGTAAAGTGTTGCTAACCATTCTAAAATCTCAGCTAAAAAAAGGAGATAGAGCCTTTGCTGTGAGGGCCTACGGAACAATCTGCCAGAAGAGATTAGACTAGCAGAATTGGTTACCTGTTTCATCTCACTTCTTAAGACACATCTCTGTAAAAAAGCTTTGATCGTATATGACTTTTATTATTTGTATCTTAATGATTATTATTTCTGTACTCTGATTGTTTATGAATTTTATATTGTTTGTTGTAAAGCACTTTGTTTCTTGTATTGAATATACTGTATGTTATATTGGTGATATACAAATGACATTATTATTAACATTATTTTCGTTATTATTATTAATACCTTCTAACCACTGCTTTACACCATGTTTTAGCTTATGTTTAGTAGTTGTCTGATATTTCTGTACCCTGTCCATCTTTATGAACTCTCATAATCTTGTTTGTGACTCGTTCAGGCTGTTCATCACCATGTGCATTTGACAAAACTACAAAAAGGCTGAAATTGATTGTCAAATATTCTTGTTTAACAGGGTTCATGTAATCAGTTTATATTGTGGTAAAAGTTGTTGCATGTTCAAAAGTAAACGGAATTTTGGTATATTGAGGTTGCACTTTGAGACCCAAGTTTTTCATGTATCATACCTATTTGTTTTATCAAGTACCCTTAACATCAACTTAAAAATAATACATATACATATACAGTCTGGTGCTATTTTGAATAATTTTAGGCATACAGTGATATTTCACTGGTTCAGTTTTGTTGTGTACCGTAATCAGTAAGAAACTTATTATCTGTTGAAGAATTTGGATCAAACGTAAAAATCATACTTGGGTAAACATTTTAAAATGTTATCATCAAATCAATATCCTTCTTCTAATATACTGTGCAATACTAATCAGTTACAATGACAATAAAACAATGTCCACTGCTGGTCACTACTGTATGTTTTATGTGTGATTTGCCATTGTATGTCATTGTAGGGTGTGAAAGAGCCAAAGCTCCAGGGTCTTGCCGGCTGGGTGAAGAAGGCTCCTGGTAGACTGTTGGCAAGCTATAAGGACCGCTTTATTCATGTGGAAAAGACAGAGATTGTAGTGTATGAAAATGAGGTACACTTGTATGTCTTTCAGTCTCACTATTCTGCAGCATATTCCATGTAACTATTTTACTATCATTTCAAACTTTGTGTTGCAGGACCTGCAGAAGTGCTTAGAGAGAATTGACCTGGAAAACTATGACAGATGTCAAGAATTAAAGAACCCCTTTAAGAAGAAGCACAGACTGATACTGATTCGATCAAACAAGTCTGGAAATAAGGTGAGATGAGAGGTGCTTCAGAGTAGAACATAACTAAATGAGAGTTATCAGTTATCATATTATCAGATAGAATAAGGCCATATTTAAAGGTACAGTGTGTAGAATTTTGTGATATCTAGTGTTGAAATTGCATTTTGCAGCTGAAAACCCCTCCCCTCATCCTCTCCTTCCAAACATGAAAAAGAACTGTGGTAGCCTTTAATTGTCATATTAAAAGGTGTTTAGTTTGTCCAGTCTGGACTAATGTAAAAAACATGGCAGCCTCCATACAGAGGACCCCCTCAATGTAAATAAGAAGTATTTAAATATAAAGGGCCTTATCTGGGGTAAAGAAAAACTACAATTCATACAATTTAGATGAAACAAACTCATGAAAGCATCATGAGGATTATTGCCAATAGTTCCCTTTCACCAAAATCTTAAACACTGGACCTTTAAATATAATAGCTCCAACACATTAAAAAGATCAAACATTGTTTGGGTGTTGTTCAAATTTTATGGATTCCTGTTCTGATTTAGATTCTGCTTATTCCTGCGATTCCAAACTTTGATTCCAATATGGTAAAAAAATGGGTGAAATGTTTAGATAGCAAAAACATTGTACTTTTAAGAAGCAAAGACACAATCCCTACATAAAAGACTCTGAAGGAGCTGAAAAATGAAGTTTAAAAGTATGATTTCACCCATGTTGTATTTCTTTGAACATAAATGCTACCATTCAATATTGATTAACTTGGAACCAAGTTTGGGTTCCAAACCCTATTATGGAAACAGAAACAGACAAATGTTTAGATAAATGATTGTTCCTGTCCTTTCAAAAATAAATGTTTCACAAAAGATGAGAATAGGCACAACTCGCAAGATGCCAGTGTACATTTGTTACATTACATGCATTGATTTGGTGTTAGTTTATCTTTTAACATGATTACACCTGTCTCCATATCTTTATAGTTTCTTTGGTTGGTGTCATTTATTGCCACCACAATGTTTGTGGAAAAGGCTCAATCACTAAATACCTATAAGCTTTGTGGAGAATGTGTGTTGGAAAAGAGTGTTCACTTTCTCTTACATGCAGTGTTTATGTCCCTCTCCCATTCATTATAAGTTGAGATACCTTAATTTAACATTTCAGGACAGTTCCTGAATCTGATGTGTCCTTTTGGGGTCATTCAGTGTGAATAATTTGAGCGGTTGTCACAAGGATGTGAAGAGCTACTTGGCAGCCTCTTGGTTTCTCTCTGGTAACCCTGTTAAGCTCTGGCTCTGCATCACTGAATGATGCCAAAAATACAGAATGACTTTCTTAAAGAACCACAGCAACAGCAGTTATTTCTACAACCAGTGGCTGCTTGGCCACAGATGGTTAAAGGTAAAGTGACTGTCACTCAATAAATAAAATTGAAAGTCATGTGAACAAGGTCTTATATGACAATATATGGAGTTCTTTTCAAGAATCATAGGTAACTGCACCTCCAAGATGGCTTTATATATGAAATTTAAAACATTAAAATAGCAGCAAACAACTCAGATTAGTGGAGTAATCGATCAGAGAATGAAGTCACATTCCCTCTGTGTGTGTTGCCACACTCTCAGCAAGAGCAGCATTGAAAAATAAATGACAAAAAAAATAAGTTTTTTTTAAGGATTGAGGGATAATTTAGATGCAACTGGTGGTCAGGCAGATTATTAATGTGATTGTCCTGCAGTGGGAAAATGGAGAAATAGTTCCCTACATTAAGCATCTTGACATGGGATGAAGATTGTTAATGATGTTAAATGTATTTATATTGATGGTCTTCTACATTTTTCAAATTATTCCAGCATCCTTCATTTCACTCATATAGTGTGATGTTTCAGGTTTGACATTGTAAGATGACACTACAAAGTAATTCTATCAAATTCTCCTGTATCAAGCAAAACAAATCTGCCAATGGGTTGAAGAAATTAAAATTAACTTATTATCTACTCACCCTTATTCTGATGGGGTAGTGGGTGAAGTGTTTGAGTCCACAAAACACTTTTGGAGTTTCAGGGTTTAACAGTGTAGCAGCCACATCCAATACAATTAGTGACTTATCTTCAGATTGAATAAAACAACAGAAAAAACATCACATGTGTTAAGTGTTTTATGGACTCAAACACTTTTATCCAGCCCTCCATTAATATAGTGGTGAGTAGATAATGAGTGAACTATCCCTTTAATGAGTCTTAAGTCCAATCAAGCAAGTTGTGATTGTTATAAGCAATGAAAACCCAATTCTCTTTCTTTTTGTTGTCGAGCACATTAAGGAGCCACTGTAATATGCATTTAGGGGATACCACCTGAAATATGTGTTTTCAAACAATATGCCTGAAATGTTAGGACGCTAAACTAGTCTGTGACATTTTGGAAGAAGGTGACATGAGTCTGCGTTCGGGGCAGTCAATCGGGAGATAAGAATTAAGAAGAAAAACATCACGAACATCAGGAGCAATCAACAAACAGAACGACTAACATGGAGGTGGAGGCCAAAAATAGTCTTGAGAGTTTAATGCTGAGGTGACGGGAATGAGGCTATTAGCGGCTTGTGAGGGTGGCTGGATCAGAAATGACAGAGAGAGATGATTAGAAACAAGGCCTTAAGGGATGGCCTGTGATGTCCCACAGAGCTGGTCAGGATGGTTTCGGTGAAAATCCCTGATGAGGGGTGGGTCTAGGATGCGGCGTGCGGGAACCCAGGAGCGTTCTTCTGGTCCTCCCAGTCAATCAGGTACTGAAAGCCTCTTCCACAAGTCGGGGGGGAAACGTGGAATGTGGGATGGACCCTCATAGACCGGGGAAGGCAAAGGCGGACCGCTGCAGGGTTAATGATCCTGGAGATGGGGAATACTCCCACAAACCTGGGGGCCAGCTTCTTGTTTTCCACCAGGAGAGGAAGGTCCCGAGTGGAGAGCGATATGCCCTGTCCCGGAGTGTATTCGGATGCAGGGCTATGGTGCCGGTTGGCGTTGCGCTGGTAACGGTCAGAGAAATATAGGAGTGTGGAGCGTGCCTGCATCCAGGTGCGTCATCACTGACGGATAAGGGCCTGGACAGATGGGAACATGGCTTCCTGCTCCTGCTCAGGGAAGAGAGAACTGGAACGGAGAGAGGCCTGTGGCTGAGCTGGGGAGTGTGTTATGGGCATATTCGACACAGATGAGTTGTTTGGACCAGGAGGAGGGGTTGCGGGACAAGAGACAGTGTAGCGCAGTCTCCATCTCCTGGTTCATCCATTCTGATTGACCATTGGACTGTGGGTGAAACCCAGAGGACAGACTGATGGATGCTCCCAGGAGCCTGCAGAACTCAGACCAGAAGTGACAGAAAGTTGGGGCCCCCTGTCAGAGACAATGTCCCAGGGGAGGCCATGCAGATGAAATACATGATTAAGCATAATCTCAGCAGTTTCTTTGGCAGACGGTAGTTTGGGTAAGGGGACAAATTAGGCAGTCTTAGAAAAGCGGTCTACAATAGTGAGGATGACTATGTTACCATCAGAGGGGGGAAGTCTGGTGACGAAATCCAGAGAGATGTGTGACCCAGGATGATGAGGAAAAGGTAAGGGTTGAAGAAGAACGGGGGCTATCAGGGCTTCTTCTGCTGGGCGCAGTTGCGACAGGCAGCAATGAACTCCTCTGTGTCTTTTTCCATGGAGAGCCACCAGAAACACTGGCACAGCAGGGCTAAGGTGTGTTTCACCCCAGGGTGACAGGCAAGGCGTGATGAGTGACCCCAAGAACCTGAGATCGCAGGGTGGCAGGACATACAAGCGGTTATCAGGACAGGCACTGGGAGAAGGATATTCAGTGTGCGAATATCGCTTCTTCTTCAATTCCCCAGAAAACGACTAACCCCTGAGTTAGAGGTGTCCACAAACTGCCGAATCGGCTCTGGAAAGGTTAGAATGGGAGCAGAGGTAAATCTATGTTTCAACTCACCAAAAGCCTCATCAGCAGTTTTCCAATCATCACCCTGCCTAATACGAACCAGATGATAAGCATTCCTGAGGTCAAACTTTGTGAAGATGGTGGCTCCCTGCAACAGTTCAAAAGAAGAGGCAATGAGTGGGAGGGGGTACATGTTCTTGATGGTGACATCATTGAGTCAATACAGTCTCGAAGTGGTTACCTGATATGCCCAGGCGGAGCCGTCTGGTGGGTAACTGTGCACAGGAGTTGACCATCCAGGGCAGTGGCATTGATGGGTCTCTCCAGAGGAAAGCGATGGAGGTCCAAATGATCGGCAAGCCGTGCATCTATTAAGTTGGTATCTGCACCAGAATCGATGAACACAGAGATCTTCAAAACCTTGTCTGATGCAGAATAGCTGTGCATGGAGCAGAGGCCTAGAGGGCATATTAGAGTTCAAAGTCTGGCTCTCCAGCGCCCTCTGGATTACTGGTGAGCCATAGCTTTTACAGGCAGGAGGAAACAAAATGGCTGCTTTGTCCACAGTACATGCAGCAGTTATCCTGTAAGCGGTGCAGCCATTCTGCAACTGAATGGTGGGCTCTACCTAGCTGCATGGGCTCAGGGAAATCCATTGGAGCATGTGGCGCCTGATCCGGAGAAGGAGGAGCCAAATCAAATACAATTGTAGTAAATGGTGAACAATTCTTCAAACGTAAAAAACTACAGCAAACCCCCAAAAATGCCTCGATACCGCTCCTGGGGTGTCTGTAAGCTACGACATTCAAATTTGACTCGCAACAACATCATTTACGCAATGTTTTTAGCCTAAATGTCCTCTTATATCCTCCTCTGGAGCTGCATTAGTGCGTGGATCTATTTATCTTATTATTCACTTCATTTTTGGGCCTCGACAAGGATTGGATTTTGATCGCCCTTACCTGATATCCTTCCATAGCTCTTGTACTATCCTATACTTTTACCCACTAATAATGGGAGCACTGGTTTAAAATGTATGCATTAGAGTGTACTTCCAAATTCGAAACTAATTTAAAAAATGTAAAAGAAAAACATACAAGGTTTCGAAAATGTAAGGTGTGGTAACTACTCCTAAATATCTACTGTGAATTTTACTTTTTGATCATCATCTGTATTTTCTAAATGACTACAGTCTGTTATGTGTCTGACAGGTCAATGATGTTAAGTTCCAGGCTCAAACAGTAGAAGAGAAGGAAGCTTGGATCAGAGCCTTTACTGAGGGCATCAATCGAGCAAGGAACAAAGTCTTTGATGAGGTCGGTTTCTGTGTAATTCATACAGAGGCATAACTGTCTTTTCATTTCAGTGGCATCCCTACTTTCTATACACACTTAACTTTTATCATCTTAATGAATGAGTGTAATGTTTTTGCAGGTGAAGGTTGATGAAAGCAGTAATTTAGAGCATGTTACTCGAACAAGGCCTAAAGGGAACCGCAACCGTCGGCCACCAACAAGGATACACATGAAAGAGGTTTGTGTGTGTTGTGACAACAAGATGTCCCCTCTCTCAAGATCTTCACACTCAGACCATTGAGAGGTGGTCTGGGAAGCATGTGGCCAAATCTTTTTAGCAGTGTGAACACAAACGCGGCCTTGGCCACATACAGTATGAAGATCTGCCAACTCAAGTCCCTTCACTCACTACAGTTAACAATTAATCAAAAATATTTGTATTCTTTATTCTACCATACCTAGATTTTATCAGCCACTGCCACAATATCAAAACTCACAATTACATAATGATTTCCTATGCAGCACATTGATATTTCCCCTTCTGACTCCGTCCCTGCTATCTATCTCTAGCTTCTTTTCTCTCTTGCTTGTGCTGAAATACTTAAGAACACACACTCACATTGACAACAGATACATTTGTATACTCAGAAAAAATAATTTTGTCTTTGTAAACAGAAATGACGTACATGTTTATTCTCAAATGAGATCCTATCACCAGGACACATTTTATTGCCTAGTCTTAACAGAAGAACGTAGCACTGTCCACTTTTGCTCAGATTTCTCAGAACAGATGTTAATACTACGTCTGAACAGGGCTCAAACTCAAACTGTCATGGTGTATATGTGTGTGTGTGTATGTGTGTGTGTGTGTGAGAGAGAGAGAGAGGGAAAAAGAAGAGAGAGAGATTTTGTTATTCCTGTGTTGTGGAATTGGTATTTCTTTTTAAAAGAGAAACTTAGTGAACCCCCACTCCCACACCATGTTTCCTTCCTTGACCTATATTTGAGAGAATGAGAATGTAAGGTATATTGGCTTTTTTAAATGTCTTGTCAGAATGATCTTTTTGCCCTCTAGGTAGCTGTTGTGTCGTCTGATGGTATCCTCCGTTTGGATCTTGATCTTGAGGGTGCTGTAATGCCTAGTGGGACCCATTATGTCAATATTGATGGTACTGAGACCCCTAAAGAAGCCATCAAAGTCCTAATGCCTTTGAATGTCACCAATGCTGAAGACAAACAGTCAAGTGCTGAGGAGATTAAACCTCAGAAAAACACAATCAAACCTCCAATGCCCCCTACCAAAGAGGCTAAACCCAGTTCAGTACCCGAGGATGAACCCGATAAGGATGATGCCTCAGAGAAAAGGGTCTGTGTCATACTATATTCTACCACTCACCTTACAGTACAGAATATTTTTGTATGTCTTTATGTTTGTATAACTTGGTCTATAACATATAATTCATGTTTTAAGGTCCTGAAGCCGCCTATGCCTCCATCTAAAGCCAAGTCCTTGATCACACCTATTGAAGAGGTTACAGAGAACACTGAGAAGATGTCTGAAAAGAGTCCTGATGCCAAGAAAAAAACAGGTGTACCACCAACCCCACCCAACAAACCCAGCTCCAACAGCCCTATTATCAGCCTCACAGAGCCCTCACAGTCCAAACTAAAACCCTGCCCTCCTACCCCCCCATCGAAAGAGAAGAAGCCCTCCCACCCTGCTCCAGACCAAGGGGTCCAAGGCAAAGAAGATGAGAATAAGGAACAGGATGATGACAATAGGAAGGAGACAGAAGAAACAGCTATAGAATCAGATGAGGATGTTCATTCAATTTTCAAAGAAGCCCTGGAGAACATAAAAGGTGATGTTAGTCCCAGCACAAAACAGGTTTCTGAAGACGCATCAAGGGAATATGTAAGCAGTGATTGTCCTCTTGTAACCACCAAGAAAAAGCCAGAGGAACCTGCTCAGTCTGACACACAACATACGGAAGAGGAGCCAACTATAAGTCAACCAAATGAGAGAGAGGACCGTACTGCTTCAATGCAAAGAGACCCAGATAACTTTGACAGTTCTCTTCGAGCAGAAGAACACACACACAATTATCAAATCCCCTCAATTGTCTCTTCTAATGAACATCCCACTGACAGTTTTAACTTGAGTCCACTGCTCTGTCACTTACCTGGGGAGAAGAAAAAAAAGGCAGAGGAAAAATCTGTAGACAGCGGTCAGCATTCAGACGATGACAGTGAAGGCTCTGGGAGTGAAGACACACTGGTGGCTTCCACAGCTGCGTTGAGAGGGAGCCATGCTGAACTGGATAGCAGTGAGATATCTGGACAACATTCAGACAACATTCAGGATATAACCACACCTCAAGTTATATCAAATGTCTTTCCCTTTCCACACTCAAAGCCCACAATTCCTCTCAAACCCTCCACCAAGGTCAAGTCAGCTTCCATTGGAGATCTGCTGTCAGTCTCTTCCGTCAGTATTCAGGTGAGACAGCATACCAGAGCTGTGGCTCAAAGAAACTCATCTCCAACAGATGATGTCATGAAACTTGAGACTGAAGTGGCTCTGGAAATGGAAAAGACGGATGAGCTCCTGAGCAGAATGTCCCAGTTCCAAGATAAAGGTGACAGTGAGGGCAAGCCAGAGAATCTGCTGGCAGAGGCCATGGAGAAGTTAAGGAAAGCTGACCATGTCCTCAGGGAGGTCAAAAAACTGAGACTTGCTAAGAACTCAATCAAAAGAATGAGCTGGTGAATGACAGTCATAGCAGCTTAACAGGGAATTGACCATTTGCTAAACGCATCACCTGGATAGTTATTGTTCAGTTATAGCCTAGCAGATTAAAATAGGCACAGCAGCCCTGCTAAATCTCTTCACCTATAGTTTTTAATCTGGGAAGGCTAAGAAAAACACATAAGACACAAGAGAAGGGTACGAGAAACAGATTTAACAGGTGTCTGGTCCAAGTTGTCTGTCAAACCATTTTGTGTTTTTACGGATTATAAAAGGTCCTGCTCATGACTTTCATTCACTTTGTATTATTTCCCAGTGTGGAGATTAGTGTGGAGCTTTGTCCCTCTATTTATCAAATTCAGAAAATGTATCACTCCCATATCCCCTGCTAATTTTACCTGAGTAAGTATTTCATTTTTCAAATCCATCCTAAAAGTCTGTCCCTTGTAAGCAACGGAGCCGGCCCTAGCCCCAACGCCTCGGTACCGATCTAATGGCTATGCTTGAAGATAGTGCCTTGGTTGTTACAGCTATAATCCAGAATCATCATCAAACCCCCCACTTGCTCGCAGTGACTTCAGCAGGGGATTCCCTGCTGTGCGCCCAGATCGGATTCTGCAGACTTTCTGTGGACTTTATACTTGGGGGACAGGCAGACAAAGTGTACAGAATGTCTGGGGGCTCTCACTTGGATTCACACATACACATTCCAGATAAAATGATCTCTGGAGTTCAGTGCATTTGCAAGTTACAGATTCAAAATTGCTCAGAAATTCTGGAAACTAAATTTGACACTGTTATCACTGTAAATTCCATATGTTCTATATGAGTGGCACGACTGACTTTAGGAATGTTAGCTAAATGGCTCAGGGCTTAGTAAATTGTTAATTAATTTACGTGTTTGGCTTTATGGCTCTTTTAATGGTTATGGAACATGCAACAATTTGCTCATTATTAACTAAGTGCAATTATTTCTAGCTTACCTTTCTCTACAGCTGAGCAAGGTGCTTAATTTACTACTGTATTCTTTCTTTTTTCTATGTGAAATACCAGATATTTACATTATTACTTTCTTAAAAGCTAACATAAGAAATGATAACATAACGATAGTACACATTACAAACTAAAAAAGTAATAAAACATGTTAAAACTAAATTACACAACTGTAATGGATACTTTGAATAGGGAATTTATGCTGTACATATTTCCACTACAGGACATGCTGTTTGTTGAGGAAAACATTTACCAACAAAACCCTATTTTATTTTTTTATTCTATTTTTAAATGATAATGTATCTGTTCATTGTAATCAAGTGATTGAGCCAATGTTTTTTATGTTTTGTTATCAAAGCATTGTATTCTACATAGATTACAGGCTCTCTTTATGATTTTTGTAATACTGATATTGTGCATAATACAGAAAAAAGAGCCTTAACAGCCATTTTGGCCATTGACTATTACATTTTACACAAATTATTATCATTAAAAATATCTGCTTGTCAACTCTGTTTCTCACAGCTAAATTCCCCTCTTTTTATCCAGTGCTTTGTTAAAATACATAATGGTACTTTAAGGCCTATTTTAAATAATGTCATGCCATTAAGAGCATGTAAGAATATTTTTGAACATTTGATATCATTTTGTACTCTTGGATAAAATTTGATGTCACCTAAATAATAAAAGGGAAACTATCTGTCAAGAGTTGTATGTATTTAATTGCACCTTCAGAAAGCATCCCAAAAATGCGTTTTTGAAAGAAAACATTTATTCCACAATATTGTCTGTTATGTTTTACTGTGGGTTTGGTATCATTTATGTTAAGATTTGTTGTCTTTATGAAAATTCTCTAACATCTAACTTGTATGTCAATCATCACCTTCCTGGTCCTACTTTATATTGTCATTCGACTTCATTCACTTCATTAGACTCCGAGGGCCATAGAGGGAGGTCACAGTCGTAGACTGCAGTAGGTCTTAAATCCCTAATTGACCAATCAGCAAATATTAGCAGCATACTACCATGATATGGGCAAAGTCACCCTTTCCTGTAAGAAAAACATGGGCCTTTTTGTCTTGAAGTAGATAGATAGATAGATAGATAGATAGATAGATTACTTTATTAATCCCCAAAGGGAAATTAGGTCATCATAGCAGTTTGGTATATGATTATTATATAGCTATTTAGCTCTATTCACTCCAATTGATTGAGAACCATCCATTGATTTCCCTCTTGAAATTGTAGACAATTTTGGTACAGGTAGTGGACATGGGGTTAGTTTAATTCGATAAAAACTGGGGGGTTGACATTGTGAAAAAAATCAAAACATACATAGACTAGCTGAAATAACATAGGTAAAACATGTTCCAACTTTTGAAATCCAAACTGCTGCAAAGTTACAAGTTTGTAATTCGTACGACAGCTCTATCCCTCTCAGCCACAGGTTTGGCTGTGGCTGAGAGGGATAGAGCGGTCACCCACTAACCAGGAGGATGGTGGTTTGATCTCAGTCTGCCCCATTCCGCATACAGAATAGTCCTTGGGCAAGATAGTAAACCTCAAAATGTTCCTTGCTGCATACAGTGCATCTACAAATGCTGCATTTGTAGATGCACTGTATGGGTGAATGCTAAAAACTGTACGGGACAACAGGGTAAGATGAGCTTTTTACATTTTATGATTGTACTGCAAAACAGACTTGTATTTGTATTTGTTTCAAACAGTAGTTAATATTTATAGCTCAGATTGTTGTGTACCCATGGAAATAAATTGGTTGAATAATTGGTTTCAGAACAATGACCCATTAAAAAAAGTTGGTCCTTTGGCACAACTTACCCCAAGGTGGGGGTAAAATGATCATAGCGATGGGGTAAATTGAGTCCTCTATGGGTACATGGTGCCCCCATTAAAAACGGATATAAAAAGGACACAAAATCAAACAAGTTTGTTAATGCCATCAGTCAACAACAGTCAACAAGGTATTTGTGACATTAACATTGTAACACTTGTAACAGTGATCAAACATGTTAATTTGTGGTCACAAGATTACTTTTTTTTCATGGTTACCTAGATACAGGAGCTGGCTCATCTTAGCCGCTGGCTCAACTAACCCCGTTCTCCTCTACTGTAAAGTGCTTTGAGGTCATCAAGACTAGTACTGCGCTGTATAAATAGGTCATTTACTATTTTGCACTTTATTTTGAAGGTCATGGTCGGAAGTGTGTCGTCAGTGTCATTGTGTGGGGCTTGATGGTTGTGTATGTAACTGTTCAGCGACTGTACATCACAGCAGTAAGTGAGATGTGAGACAGGAGAGGAGTCCCCGATACACCGACAACATGGAGGACCACCTGGTGTCTGAGGACGATGTGTGTAAGTAACGATGCCACAGAGCGCGTGCGCGTTTGTGTGTGTCAACAGTAAGATGTCCGTGGTGTCCACTCAGGAAAAAACGTTATACAAAAGCCATGCATGTGGCCTGTATTCCGCTATGGGTTCCCACAGTAGGCTGTATGCCTTGTGTGGTGAATCAAATACTAGCCACCATCTCTGAACCACACTATTCATAATCCAACATTAACCAAACACGGTCCCTTCGCTGAATTTTGCGCTTGTGAAAGACAAGACCGAAGGAACTTTAAGTTTCCTCTGTGCAAGACGAGCTGTCTGCGTGAGGAAAAACACCAGGAAACGTCTTTTATGCACGGTATATTTGTGATTTTTGGGGAAATTGCCCAATAAAATAGTAGTGTTAAC